GCAGAGCTTTTTTCTCCAGCCCACATTTCCTATTCACCTCCAGATGTAAAACTGATGGGGTGGTGCAGGTTAGTTACCAGAGAAATAAAAGCATAGAGTCACAATGTGTTCCATCACACTCAAGCATGTGGCATTTTCAATCATTTCTCCTGTGAAATACCAACTGTAGACTTCTCACAACACAGATAGGAGGACTAACACCAAATGTTTTAGGAGAGGAAAAGAAAAAAAATCATTTTCCTCAATGGTAATTTATGGGGCAAGTTATATTGTAGAACAGCTTTTCCCTCCTGTATTAATCAGAAAGGACATTTTGTCCAGAAGAAAAGTGTAAATTATATGTAAAATGAGAAAAATTTAAAGTATTTAAGATATTAACCAAAGCACATCCTTCCTCTTTTCCTCTTTGATTTGCAGACTTGCCTAGATGACACTCTAAACTAAAATTGAAATGACATTTTTATTCTAAGCCCATATTTTTTAATTCCTTTCAGCTTTTGCTTTTTAAGCTAAAACGTCTCTCATTCTTGGTACAATGAATTTTTTGCTAAGTAATTAAAAAGCAATTGTGTTTAAACCTTTTGAGATACTTGGTTTCATGCTGTATAACTCAGGATTTGGTTTCTAAAACCTCAAATTTAGCATCTCAAGGAAGAATAGTATCTATGGCATGTTTGAAAAAAATGTTTTGAAATGAAGTGATGGGCATTTAAAAATAGAATTCAGAGAGCACACAGCTCCCTCTTGTCTTTTTTCCACTGGGGGAAGAAAATGACACATCTGCATTATGCTGCCAAAATACTGTTGCTGTGATTCTGTTGAGTTCACAATGGAGAAGGGAGCTACAAAGACCACTCATAGTTACAGCACAGCCTCCATGAACACTCAAGCAGTTCCATCTGACATACTCAACTCGGAAGTAGAAATGACCAGTACGCTTTGTTCACACCTTGCCACCAAAGCCTCTCTTCCCCACTTCCACCCCCCATAGCTCTGAACATTCTGTTATACCCCTAACAATCATGTACCATGCCCAACTGTCAGAGCTGTAATTCAGCACCATGTCCTCCCCCATGGCCACTTTCAGGGTGGCTTTGGCTAAACTTCAGATTTTAAGAACACTCAGGAATCAGAGTGACATAGAGAATGTGGAATTCTGTGGGCTAGCTTTGAAGCCTAATATCCATTCCTAATGTTTTCCTTCTAAGAAAAGCTACTCAAAATCCAAATAATCAACCTACGAATGAAATTCTGGAAAATGAAACAATCCCTCACTAATTGCAGTTAGTTTCCTGAAAAGCATTACGTTAGGCAAAATCATAACTGGGGTATGGGAATTAGAGGGGAAAATCACACAATGTGAATGGCTTTAAACGTATTTTTTCAAACTTCAAAGTAAGTATGTTCTGAAAAGCACCTACTTCTAAAACAAGCCTATTTAATCACTGTTTAAGTCCATGTTATTGATAGGAGGAACACTTCTCTTGGAGTGTACCTTTTTCAGTGTTCATGAAACTACTGCTATGTCATGATCTGCTTAAGCAGGTGTTTCAAGTTTAGTCAATGGAAGACAGTATCTCTTTACAAATACTTTGCATTGGCAGTTACAGGCTTCGAATATGTTGTGGTAGTCAGGAAGATGGACCAGCAGATCCTCTTTCAAGGAGGGACTTGCTGCCCAGCTGCAGAGAACGTAGCCAGCAGACAGCCTCCTGCTGTCAGCTCCTTCAGGGTCTGTCTGACCTACAGAACCACCTCACCTGGGAGTATGCCCTTCCCAGGGCTGCCTGCCTCCAAAGACAGAGCCAAGTAAGTAGGCAACGCTGGCTCCAGAGCTACTCAACAGGTTGACAAAGTCTTTGTCAGGCCTGCATCACACCTAGACTTCTCCCTCTGCTCAATCCTGCTTCCCCCTTCCTTTTACACATGCCTATTTCTAATAATCTTGCACCCCAAACTCTCAGTGTCTACTTCCAGAGAATACAACCTGTGACACGTCATTTTCATTTGCATTCCCTCTGCTTCATTTTGTGACAAATCTTGGGAAAATTCTTGTGTATATCCAATTCCCGATATTATCATGATACTTAAGAGCACAATTTTCAGGGTGTAGACTTCACTTCATTTAATAAAAGGAATATAGGTAGATTTTTACCTGCATTATACCACATGGTACATAGAAGAGAAAGCAATTATTGTTGATAGTTCTTTTCTCTCTGAAGATGAAACTATACCTTGCCTATAAAATTATAAATATAAGATAGTACATTCAGGCATGTATTCACTTGATATTATTCATTATCAAGCAACTTCTACACACCTGGCCTAGGTGGAAAAAAACTATAAAAAAACTCGCGCTCTAGAGGAGTTTGCATTCTAGTGGCTGAGACACATAATAAACAAATCAGTAATTAATATAATACAATTCCAGGGTCTGTGAAGAAAAATAAAGCAGGGTGAGAGAATAGAGAATGACTGGAAAAGAATCTATTCTCTTAAAATTACTGTTGGGGAGGGATTGCTGTGATACATACATTCCTGGGCTTGTATAGTCATATGTACACTTAGTAAATAATTTCCTCAATAGTATGTACCATTCTCATTCTAGTGAAGAATTCATCACATTCAATTTTACTAAAATAATATTTCTTCTGCATTGTGAGTCCACCTGCTGCATGAAACAATCTTAAATCTATGTTACTAACCTATATAGCAATTCTGTCTTGGGGAAAGAGCAGCCTGAGCCATCATAAGCTATAGTCAGGCACAGCTGTCTCAGGCAGATGGCTTTGGTGGGCAATATCATAAGCTTGCCAGATTTTTTAAAATATGAAAGGGTTTTCTGCCTCATCAGTATTTCATGGCTGACCATCCACAAACACCTGGTGTTCAGACTTCTTCCTCGTGTGAAAATGTAATCATACATAGTCTTAGCTCTAAATTAGAGTATACATTATATAATCTTTATCCAAATAATTTAATACTCAGATAATTTATAACAGCACAGGCAGGAGAAAGACACTTCCTCATACAGATTGAGATGAAAATTTGATATCAGGACCAACAGGGACTTGGAATAGTGGTAAAGAAAGGCAAATTAAATTACTTTCCCCCTTCCCAATACTCGAACTACTTTGTTTAGAGGAAATTCTAGGTGGCCTTCACAGTCCACTATTTCTACCATTAATATAAAAATGAATAACGCAAAATGACAGTTTCTGAGAGTAACTGTGTATATATCTCTACTTTTGTTTTTCTTCTCATACTTTACCAGCACTTTGTCATCATTTTCAACAAATACATTACTTGAACACCAACACCACAGTGTACTTGCTCAAGGTGGAAATCAAACCATACCTTACCTTGTTGAACTCTTGTTATGAGGTAATAGGAAAAAAATCAGTAGACAGAGTTTGGAGAGAAAGTTCAAATTCACGTACTATAATTCATTAGCTTTTTAAAAGATTAAACTGTCCCAAGGTAATAAATTTTAGTGTTTATATTTGCAAAATGGAAATAACATCTACCCAAATATCTCACATGGTCAGTAAAAGAATGTGTTTTAAAGTACTTTGAAAACTACAAAATGATCTGCAAATATAAGGTGTTATTACAACTGGAGTTTATTTGGATTTTAATGTTAACATATTATTCTTATATAATTTAACTGATCAATAAAAAATACCTTCATTCATTTAAGAAGTATTTATTCAGTACCTTCTGTATTACACTTCAAAGAATATTGAGAAAATCAGATTTGAGGGGGAATGTGGAGAGAAGATGTGGTTTTGGTTTTTGCCAACACTTAACTGAGTGAGCACTTTCTGTGTGACAGATATTATTATAGTGCTTTACATGTAGTAACTCTTTAATCTTCAAAGACCCTATGAAAAAAATACTTTTATCTCATTTTACAGATGAAGAAGATGAGGCACAAGAAGTTTAGAAACTTGCCCAAGGTCAGAATCACAGTAGGTATTAAAGTCACACACTCAGGCGAGTCAGTCACGACATTATATTACATCTCAACTTGGGCAGAAACACACACACATACATATTATTAATAACAACTAATGAAAATTAACAATACTAAGGCAGTAAATGACAAACGAAAAGATCATCCTGGGTTGGGTGGTCAAAGAACTACTCATGATATAAAACCAAAACTAGATCCAAACCTGTTTTGAGGATTCAGATAAGAAAGATTAAATAAAGGCATATAAGAATATTATATTACACACATACATATTATTAATAACAACTAATGAAAATTAACAATACTAAGGCAGTAAATGACAAGCGAAAAGATCATCCTGGGTTGGGTGGTCAAAGAAGTACTCATGATATAAAACCAAAACTAGATCCAAACCTGTTTTGAGGATTCAGATAAGATTAAATAAAAGCATATAAGAATATTATATTATATATATACTTTTTTGAGGGTTCAGTAGGTATGTACTTCATTGAAATATAATCTACACATAGAAAATATATGTACATTTGAAATATCTCATTTGGTATGTATTTTTTTACACACTGGATTTATTACATAATTAAAAGAGGAAAAACTGATTTAAAGCAATGTCTGACTACCTATCCACATACCAGTTTTAATATAATCCATTTCATTTCAAAGAATTACACATTAAGTATTTCCTATGATCAAGACAACTTGATTCTGGTGTATCATAATGGAAAATAACTTGAAATAGAATAATTTTTGTCTTTCCATAATAAAAAGTGCCATCAGGCAAATTAATTATTTTCAGTTGGTATGAGCAGCACTGTGTTAGTTTTCCATGGTCTAGAGAGGAGTCTGCCTCACTCTCCCCTCTGGATTTTTATATTTGTTACAACATTTTATATATAGGAAAGTAACTTTGAGAGCTACTTTTCAAATGACAAAACAATGGCTGACCATGGTTTCTACTCATTTCAATTTCCAGCAGAAGATGTACACTGATTGCTGGTTGGTCCTGTGTATCTACAATGAAACTTACCAAGCGATAGGTCTGGGCCTTTAAAACGTTGAGATCAATAAAGTTTTCTTCATTATCTGTCTCCTCTTCCTTAGAAAAATAAAATAATTTTTAAATAATTATAAAAAATTATAATTTAAAAAATGTTTTTCTAGCTTTCACATACATAACATATATGCTTAATACAAAGACTAATGCAGGAAAGGGTACTTCAAAGCCTAGTAAGCGTATGCATAAAGTAGGGCACAATATTAACAGCTCATCTGTTTTATGAGGACTTGATGATGCCATTTAAATAGGACCTTTTTTGCAGTCACTGAAGAAAGAAAAAAGAAAAGGAGGGAGAAGGAAAGGAGCCATTGCTATAAAAGGACAGATAAACATAAAAACAGGAGCAGGAAACAGCCCCAAGTGGCATATCTGAAATAGACAGTGGAAGGAGTTAATGAAAATTATGAGCAACATGACAAATGGACAAAAATGAGAGGTTGATAAACACAGAATATTCTCACTTGCTCCAGTGACCAATTACATTCATGCATATTTTTGATATCTCATCTCCTGTATGCCCAAGCTTGATAAGGTAATGGTTATAAGTACTGCTTGGCCCATGGCCCTTAAACCTATCTAAAAGGATAGTCAGGTGGATTTCAAGTGGGTCCTGATTGGCAGGCCAATTGTGCTTGGAGGGGGGGGGAGTAGGAAGTGACCTATTGAGAAGCAACCCTCCCCGATAGACAGACAGTAAATATGGAGTCTAAGCAGGTTCTATGAGCATGTAGGACAAAACAAGCTCTCCTTTTTCTTCAAATGTCTTCGTGGTGACAAGTGACATAGTAGGTGAAACAAATTTAACAAGAATATCCTATCTTGAGGACATGGTAATAAAGCCAGTGTAGCTCGGTTCTCAAATCATATGATCTTGTAAAGAAAAAAAGCAAACAATTAAGTGTCCGTTGGTGAACACTTCTGTATGTAGAATTGTAAGAGCTGCACTGGGATATTTCAAAGATAATCCTTGTCTTCAAGAATTTAGAAATATGTAAGACAGTGGTTCTCTAAGTGTGGTTCTGAGGTCAACATCATCAACATCACCTGGGAACTTGTTAGAATACAAATTCTAAGGCTCTACCCCAGATCTACCCAGTAACTTGGGAAGGTGGCAGGGAGGACATTAAGGTAAGATATAAGAACTTTTAAGTCTTGGAAAACTGGAAAGATTTTAGTAAAACATGAAGTAATTAAATGCATATTCTATACACTCAAGCAACATTTATTATTTTTTTTTTTAGGAAGAGGGATAGTAGGGCCCAGAGGTACAGTCAAAACTGATCTGTTTACATCTTAAATCCGAAACACAGATGTACACTTTGGAAAAGTGACTTAGTCTACTTTTTGTTTGCACTAGTAATGGTCTACTTAACAACCAGAGTAAATTACTGATATGCCAATGACCCAATACCCATGAGAGAAGGGACAAGTTTATGATCTTTTACAGTAACCTAATCAGTACTGTTTACATAGGCAATCAATAAAAACTTGTTTAATTGTACTGGATTGAACACTAATAAGTAAAAAACTTTAATTGTAGGTACTAGAATGAATCAGCATCCGATACATGGAGCTGTTTCTCCAATAGCCAGGATTCACAGGTGCAGGAATGAAGAGATAGAAATGGGAGAGGCAGTGCTCACTATTACCCCTAGGAGCCCACTAGCAGATTTTTTGCTTCCTATTCTAGCAATCTTTGGTTCTGCTGGCCTAGAGGGGTTAGTTCCAAAGAGAAGAATGCTTCTACTAGAGGACACAGCAATGACTCCACTGAACTGGCAGTTAAAACTGCCACCTGGCCATTTTGAGCCTCACAAACCTCTTAACAGGCAAAGAAAGGAGTTACTGTGCTGGCTGACATGACTGATCCTGACTACCAAGGAGAAATTGGACTTCACTTCAAGTCCATAATGGAGGTAAAGAAGAATATGTCTGGAATACAGGGGATCATTTAGGGCATCTCTTAGTATTACCATCCCTGTAACTAAGGTCAATGGAAAACTACAACAACTCAATTCAAACAGGACTACTAATGACCCAGACCCTTTGAAGGTCTGGGTCACTCCATCAGCAAAAGAACAACAACCAGCTGAGGTGCTTACTGAAGGCAAAGGAAATATAGAATAAAGGTAGTTATAAATACCAGTTACAACCATGTGACCAGTTTCAGAAATGAGGATTGTAAGTGCCATAAGTATTTCTTCCTTATTTTGTTATGATATACTCATATGCAAGTATTTTTGTTTTCTTCCCTCCCTTATTCCCTTAACACACAATAGACTAACTTTATATCATCGCATTTAAGTATTGTTATTTGTACATCATAGTATTTAAGTTACAGAACATCAAAGTGAAGAGTATACACCACCCAAGGACTTTATTTCTTCTAAGGAAGGAGTTAGTGTGTTATCTGTTGTGCATAAGACAATCATGTTAGGCAGAATTATCAACTCACTGTTATCTTTATTTGTAGATTATGGAGATGTGTATGGGTGCCAAGTGAATAAAGAATGGACTTGTGATAGTTAATTTTATGTGTCAATTTTACTGGGCCATGGGGTGCCCAGATATTTGGTTAAATATTATTCAGGACGTGTCTGTGTGTGTATTTCTGGATGAGATAAATACTCAAATCGGGAGACTGAGTAAAGCAGATTGCCCTCCCCAGTGTGGATGGGCCTTATTCAATCACTGAAAGCCTGAATAGAACAAAAAGGCAGAGTAAGAAAGAATTTACTCGTTATGCCTGACTGTCTTTAAACTGACATCAGTCTTCTCATGCCTTCAGACTTGGATTGAAACGTACACCAATGGCTCAGATCTCAGGCCTACAGATTCAAACTGGAATTATCCCATCAGCTCTCTTCAGTCTCCAGCTTGCTGACTATGGATCTTGGGACTTCTTAGCCTCCATAACTGCATGAGAAAATTCCTTATTATAGTCTCTCTCTATATAAATATGTATGTATATCTCCTATTAGTTCTGTTTCTCTGGAGAACCCAAACTAATACACAGAAAAAGCACGTAAGTTACTAAAAATTATTAATAGAGCATTCAAAAGAAATTCAAATATAAACGGGCTTAGAAGAAATAGTTTTAAATTAGGATTCTAATCTCAATAATTCAAAAGGCACAATTTCCTGCCATTTCTTTGCCCAATATGCACACACACCTTCTTATTCTCTGCCAGTTACTAAGGATATGATTATATACAACAGATGTTCTATGCCAAGACCAATACTTTTTTAATTTCCTGCCATTTCTTTGCCCAATATGCACACACACCTTCTTATTCTCTGCCAGTTACTAACGATATGATTATATACAACAGATGTTCTATGCCAAGACCAATACTTTTTTTTAAAAAAAAACAATTATCAACTTATCCTATCTTGAGTTGGCTAGTCTAAACTGAAGGTTTCTAATTTCTAGATGATTATAGCAGAACTTTGACTGTCAGAAATTACCTTCACCAGCCTCGAGCTACCCCACAAACTCTGACAAAATAATCAAGCAGTATCCCTCCATCAAAAGGCTTTTTGGCACTGAATCAGTTCTCCTTAGCCAGAAGAATGGGAGAAGTGAGAGAGGGCCCCTTGGAATAATATGACAACATTAAGGAAGAATGGAAAGAAAAATAATTCAAGAGACATGACACAAGAAAAGGAATAGCCTATGAGGCAATCCCTTTGAGGAAGGCCTTCGTTTGGTCTTATGATAGATAGAAGGTCTTTTTACCTCATGGCTGGGAAGAAATGTGTGAAGAGCCTATTTTCTAGTTTGTTTCTCTAAATTTACAAACCCAATAATGCTGCTTTGAATTTTAAAGATTCCTGAAAAAAAAAAAAGTAAGCTATATTTTCTAAAAGTTACACATGGATTTCATGGCCAAATATTCAATGAACACCTACTATGCACCACGCCCTGCAAAATAAGCTGGAGATACCATGAGCAAAATTAGACATTCTGCCCTCACAGATATTTTTTCCTGATTAGGTCCCCCCCGCCTTGTCTAGCAGTTTTCAGTTATATGTCTTTAAAGTTAAATGTTGATGTACTAGGACCAGCTACCTGTCTATAAACATTAATAACTATTAAGTAGTTATTAAGAAGATGAGGAAAATACCTGAGTAGAATAAATGAGGTAAACAATTGGGAATATGTGAGGACGTAATTTCTGAGCTTGAGGAAAAAGATCTATTACATATAGAATGAAGTCAAAACTCCTTAAAATAGCCAAAACAATCTGGACTTAGTCTATCTTCCCAGTTAATCTTAAGCCACCCTCCCCCTCATTCAGAAGCTCTGGCCACAATTGTTTTGTCTCATTTGCTTGATCATGCTAAGCTCCTTCCTGCCTCAGAGCTTTTGCTCATGCTCTAGCAACAGAGCCTTGCCCGGTGACTGCTGCATAACAGGTGCTCAATAAATACATGCAGAATAAATAAATATATTTTGCCCTGACGTTTTAAATTTATCATGTTTAAAAGAATCTTAAATTAGCTAGTTTTACAATGGTCTTTTCCTTCTGTAAATAGCAGTCATCTTTTTCACATATATTAATATGGTTAAAAATATTTATTTATACTGCTGATAAAATACATTAAAAACTTTGAAAATAGAAAGCATAGAAAAGAATCATCCATAATCCTCTTACACATACATAACTAATGTTAACATGTTGATATCTGCATTAGTAAGGGTTCTCCAGACAGAACCAATAGAGTAGGTATATAGATATATGACAGGAGATTTATTAGCGGAATTGGTTCACGTGATTTTGAAGGTTGAGAAGTCCCACAACAGGCCACCTGCAAACTGGAAACCCTGGTATGCTGGTAGGTTGGCTCAGTCCAAGTCTGACAGCCTCAGAATCAGGAAAGCCAACAGTATAATTCTCAGTCTGAGGCCAAAGGCCTGAGAGCCCAGAGGTGCTGCTGGTTTAAGTCCTGGAACCCAAAGGCTGAAGAGTCTGGAGTTCTGATGTCCAGGACGGTAGAGAAGAGTATATCCCAGATCTAGAGGATAGAGAAAGAGATTTGCCTTTTCCTCTGTTTTGTTCTCTCTGAGCTCCCAGCAGATTGGATGGTGCCCACCCATACTGAGGGTGGATCTTTCCACCTAGTACAATCAGGCTCATATGCTAATCTCCTCTGGAGACACTCTCACAGATAACCCAAATATAATGCTTTACCAGGTTTCTAGGTATTCCTTAATCTAGTTAAGTTGATACCTAAAATTAACCACCACGATATTATTTTTTTTAATTTTTACATATTTTACATAGTTGAGGTCATGATGACATAAAATTTGGAATCCTTTCCTCAGTAAATTTTAAAGCATAAAGCATAAGTTATTATCCCCATGTCACTAATGTTTCTTTGTAGACAATTTTTAATAGCTACATAATATTCTATTTAGATATAGTCTAGTTTATTTAATGGTTTTTCAGTATTTGTTATAAAATAATGCAGTGATTATTTGCAGCATATACTAATTTAAATTACTTTAAGATGAAATATAGAATATATTTATTATCGATTGATTTTTTAAAAATCACCTAAAAACTTTAACTGGTTTATGACAGTAAAAGTATAATATAAAGTTGTTTTTTCTACCATTTCTGTTTCAGATCTTATGTATACTTTCTAAAACCCTAGGATCAATCCATTTCTAGTTCTGAGAAAGAATTATCTTGAGAAAAAGCTCTTTTGTTTCTATTATCTTATTAGTCTAATCTGTTGTAGAGATTAATCATTTAGCTTCACACTATGGACAGGATGTTAAGTATGGAAAAAGGTGTAGACGCTACCAAAACAACTTAAATCATGTTGGTTAAACACATTTTTAAAAATTCCTGCAAAGTAGTACTCATCCTAAATAGAGGAACATAAAGGAATTTCTTGAATTAGAAATTTTAATTCATTAGAAGTAAATGGTATTCCTATTATAAAGCAGAATGTATTACTCCTAAAGTCTATTGTTCTATTCTAAATACTTTATTACTCATGGCCTATTTAAGATCATGAATTATTAATAAAATATTTACTCATAACTAGTGGTATATACTTCCTTTTACAGTTTAAGAACCTCTGCTAAAATTCAGATCTTAATCATTAGAGAGCATGAACATTAACTTAACCAAAGGTCTAAATGACAGATACTTGGCACTGTATTTAAAAGCTTTTCTTCTCAGAAACAACAAAATAAAATATATTCCAAAAAATGGAAGACTGAGGGAATTAAGGGAAAAGAATCCAAAGGTGAAAATGAACAGAAAGTTCAGCAACACACATACCACAAATTCTTCATCCACTTTATTTAATGTTAATTCTGCATCATCTTCTGGAACAGTTTCTTCTTCTAATTCTTCCACTGGGTATGTTGGCCTAAAATAAAAAGGCTTAGTATAAAATGAGAGTTTAAAATTGGTGGGAGCTAAAAACACACAAATAAATTCACACACACACACACACACACACACACACAAAAAAAAAAAAAAAAAAAAGGGGGGGGGGGG